TTGAAAAATCTTTATTTAAGTTTTTACTTTCCATACCGTATTTAGTATACTCGATTTTTAGAAGTTCCAATTGACCACAAATATGGAGAGTTATTGCGAAGAAAAGTGTATCATTACCTTTGTAAATAAATAAATTTCAGTGTTGCATTAAGATAATTTATATTTAAAATTTTATTTATGATACAAAGATTTCAGTTTTAAAAAGTTAAAAATATCAAAATATTATTACATTACAATTGCAAGAGGTGCAGCTACAACCATGCTATAAAAAAAATTTATTAAAAAACATCTAAAGATTTAATATTAAGTACGGATAAAAATAAATGTTTTATTTAGATGTCTAATTCAGTTTGTATATTAATAATTAATACAATAACTAAAAGTGAAAATGTAACAGTTAGGAATTTTATTAATGAATTTTATTAGAGAAGTGTACCGTTTAGCATAAGGTAAAATGTGTTGTACGAAAATCTTTTTTATATTAAAAATTAGCTTATTACCACAATTGCTAGTGGCCAATATCATCAATACGAAATATTGCACCGCAAAAATCATGAAATATAAACTCGTAGAAAACTGCAAGTCCCCAAAAAATGTTACGGGCACGGGTAATTTCCCGCTTGATGCTTGATTTTTAATGGATACATTAACATGGACGTCTTTATCGCCTAATACCATACCCTGCAGTATGAAAATTATTGCAGAAAAATAAGTAAAACCTAAGATACTGTAACAAATTGCTCTTCCCATGAAAGCGTGTCGTCGCATGATCGTACGTTTCTCTTCGGTATCGATCGTGGAATAATCATTCACGGCAGAAGAAAAATTGGAAATCAGATTGTCGACATGTATAAAGCGGAAGTACGACAGTTTTAGCACACCGAGAATGCCGCAGTTCATAAGCATAATAGCATCGACTTTTAAATACGCAGCGCTTGTACCGATAATAATTTCGAGGCACAACGTGATTATCAACATGGTCTATATAAAGAGGAAGGATGTACTGTACTTTATTATAGAGCCTTATGCCTGTGCTTTGTTTTCAATGTGCACCAAACATTTCACTTAAACTATCGAATTTGTTATGTCGAAAGTATAAATTGCAGTTATATAGGAATTTATTATAATGTGAAAATATAGAAAAACGTACCATGAGGAAGTAGCATACGATGTAACGAATTAAAGAAAACGTATCATTTTTTTGCAAAGGCCAAACGCCTAATGGTAGAGTTATGATTTTGAAGGGAGTAGATCGGAAGAGCACA